GCTTTTTTTAAAAAAATTATTATTTATTTATTTATTTTTCAAAACTTAGTACTTAGAGGGAAAAAATGCAAACAAAGCTTGGGACAAAGAAGAGAATTGTTAGAAACTTTTGCTTCTTGTTTCTTCTTTTGGGAAAATAGCAAATACATGCAGATGAATTTTGTCTTTTCTGCCATTTTTGGTAAGGAAGCGTTGTTTAAGGCTGGTTACAGTGACACCCTCTAGGCTGCAGATGCAGGAGAAGGGGTGACGGCCAGCTGCTGTGCACTGGACTGAGTGAACAGACTCCTAAAGTGGAATGGCTGAAAAAGGTATGCAAAGCACACAGTTGACGCTAGTTTGTCTGCCTTCTGAGCAGTTGACAGACAGAGGCAGGGGTGTGGCTTGCTAAGAGGAGGCAACAGGCCCAGAGTTGAGTTGCCAGGGCCAAGAATCTCAGAAATTCCTCACAGGTCTCAGGAGAGGAGTAACTGTACTGGCATTTGCCTTCTATTTCCATGATGTGTTTGTTGCCGGGAAGCCCTTTGTCATCTTGAAGGATGTATGTGTTTACGGCACTTTAATTCTTTGGAGGATGAAGTGGATAAGTGCATCATAAGTAGATAAGTGAGTGTGGCTATCTATGAGTTGGAATAACCCTACTGGAAGGCTTTGAGTCCTCAGCCATAAGACCAGGGGGGTGTATGATCAGAGGTCAGGCTGAGCCCAGACAGCTCTGTTGCCCTGACTGATAGAACCTGCTAGTTGTTCTCTTATACCTGTTTCCCATCTTCTAGAGATAAGACTTCTGGCTTTTGGCTGGGTACATGGCTCCCAGAAAATAGACGTTTTCCAATTTCCCTTAGAGCTATGAGTAATCCATGTGACTAGGTTGTGGGATGAAAAATTACCTTCCTTACCCTTCTTTGTCTTTCCTTCTATTTGATGGGAGATGTAGATGCACTTGGGTAGCTCCGAAAAAGGTTATAGTCTGGGGGTAGGGGGAGTAGTGGGATGAAAGAAGCTTGAGGTCTTTAGGGTTGAACACAAACCTCTTCACTTCACTTTTGGAAGATAGAAATTTCATCTCTCTTAAGCCATTGCTATTTTGGCATTTCTGCCACTCATTGTTAATCCTAATGCTTACCGCAATGGAGTATTACTGCAAACTTATTCTGGCAAGTTCCCTTCTCGACACAAGGGTTATCTTATGGAGTATACACATAGGTTCAGTGTCCTGTGTTTTAAAAAAATTTTTTTAAACACATTATAACACAGCAGAAAACCCTTTACAGAATACTCATCCCTTGGCACTTCAAAATATCATACAGCAGTATAGGTATAGCTCAAGGGTAGAGTGCTTGCCTAGCATGCTTATGGCCCTGGTTGGCCCCAGCACTGCAGTAGCAACAACAACGATGTCTCATAGGAGGAGGCTCTAACAAAGGGGTCAGAAGTCAGGGCAAAAGATTGGCCACATACGAGGTACATTAAAAGATAATGCTCTTCAGGTCCCATACTCGATGTAGGAACCAATGCTTAGGAAGAGTTGGGCTGAGTTAGAGGTGATGGTAAAGTGAAAGCAGGTAGCTGGTGCAAAGAATAACAGGTGAAAGGATTGGGTAGACAATGTATTAAAAAGTGAATCGTTGGGCCTGGGGTTATGGCTTAGTTATAGAGCGCTTGCCTAGCATGTGTGAGGCACTGGGTTCAATTCTCAGCACCACATATAAATAAATAAAATAAAGATCCATTGCCAACTAAAAAGTATTCTTTTAAAATGTGAATTGTTAAAAGTTAATTAATTTAGAGCTTTCAAAAATGTAGGTAAAATATTGTCAGGTGAAAGAGATAGTATTATTCCACAGGAGCCAGGGATATATACTTTGACTCTTATTTTGAATAATACAATGCAGTTGAATATCTAACAGCATTTGGAATATACTGCTCCATATGTTAGCTATTAATATTGTTATTATATTACAATAAAATAATTAAGCCTATTAATAACTTATCTGATTATTGACTAAATCAGGTGTGTTCTTTCTATTTATTTAATGATGCTTTTGTTTCTGATAATTTTTAGGTTGACTACATTAAGCATGAATAATAAAAGCATACTAGCTAATTTAAGAAAGGCCCCAGTAGCACTTCCCTCCTCTGCACAAACTACTGCAACACAGATGAACCTTGAAGATGGTATGCTAAGCAAAATAAACCATTCACAAAAAGGACAAATGTAGGATTCCACCTATGTGAGAGACGTACCTAAAGTTGTCAAACTCATAGTGACAGAATGTAGAACAGTGGGTATCAGGGACTGGGGTAAAGAGGAAATGGGGAGTTTTATTATGGAGTTTGGGAAGATGAAAAAGTTCTGGAGCGAAGTAGAGTATTTGCTTAACATGCATAAAGCCAGGTCTTGGGTTTGACTCTCAGAATTGGGAGTTGGGAAGGTGGAATAAAGTGAGCAAGGGGGAGAGTGTTTTAGTCTGTTTGGTCTACTATAACAAAATACCATAAACTGGGTAGCTTATAAACAACAAAAATTTCTTTCTCACATCTCTGGAGCCTGGAAATTTCCAGATCAAGGCAGATTCGGTGGAGGATGAGCACCTGCTTTCTGGCTCATATACTGCACCTTCTTCTTGTGTCCTGACATGGTGGAAAGGGTGAGAGGTATTTGTCAGGCCTCTTTTATAAGGGCACTAACCCCATTCATGACGGCATCAGCTTCATGATCTGAGCATTTTCCACAGGCCTCACCTTCTAATACCATCATCTTGGGAGTTAGGATTTCAACATATGAATTTGGCAATGGATACAAGCATTTAGACCATAGCAGAGTAAGAGCAGTTGACTTCTACTCTGTGGGTAAGTGAGAAGGGTGAATGGTGGATATTATGGGCTGTGTAAAGAGAGCTGTTGTTACCTGAGAGAGTTGAAGAGCCATTTGGTGGGTTTTCAACAGAACAGAGACATATCTGATACTTTTGAAAAAGATCACTCTGGTTTCTGCCTTGAAAACAAGGTGTATGGTGGCAAGTTAGCAGTTTATCCAAGTGAGGCATAAAAGGGGGGCCTGGAGCAGGGTGAGGGGTAGGCAGATGGTGAGGAGTGGTGGAATTCTGGGTATATTTTGAAATTGGAACCAAGAGGGTTTCCTGAACAAATTGTGAGTTTAAGAACAATACATGGAACAACATTTACTTGTATTCCCAGAGACTGAATATGATGTGCAGTTTAGCTCCCATTTTACCACTGTTCGTCAAAGTAACCTGGCAGATTAATCTCTACATCCATTCTCCTGTAAAACCCATGGATCATCACCAAGATACCTGACCTTGTGGCCAAGGGGTTCCTCTCTACAATACCGCCCCACCAACCCTCCACCACTCTTCTTCCCAACAAATGAGTTCTCTCTGAACCAAGAGTTGCTGACTTCCAAAACTCTATATCCTAATTTTACTTTTTACAATTAAAGATGTTAATTAAATATAATATAAAATAATGGAACATGAGTTTAAAAGCAAAGAATTGAAGGTTTGGGTAAGGGTTGACTAAGGTGGAACTTAACAAATTTACCTTATGAGTCAACTGTAAAAATAGAGGGAAAAATTACAAAAATACAGAATGAATATGTCCTCAGATTGCTTTGCAAATATTTTTAAGTTCTTCTTGTAAACAAATTAAAATTAGAAATCCTGCTTACCTGGGTGTGGTTTATGCAAGAGAAACAATGACCTATCAGCAGACACAGGCTCAAGGAAGGGCTGTGGTTTTCTGTCAAAGATTGACAATGAACATATAGTTGTCCCTCAGTATCAGAAGGGGATTCATTCCAGAAACCCCTATGGATGCCCAAATCCACAGAAGCTCAAATCTCATATATAAAACAATGTAGTGTTTGCAAATAATCTATCCATAGCCTAGCATGTACTTAATATTTCATATATTTAATATATTCCTAAATTCAATATAAATGCAAGTTACTTATAATACCTAAATTCAATATAATTGATATTTAAATAATTGTTATGCTGTATTGTGTAGGGAATGTTGGCAAGAATACCGGACATATTCAGTACAGATTGAAAATATTTTTTGAATATTGTCTAGAGAACTATGACAAGATTACTGGACATATTCAGTACATAATTTTTTCAAATATTTTCCATCTAAGATTGAATGAATCTTAGACACAGAAGCCACAAATATGGAAGGCTGATTGCATATAGTAGGTTCTTACAGAATATATTGATTTCCTTTTCTGGTATTGATTCCCTTTTCTCTTCAGCTCTTTTTCCCTTCCAATTCATTGAGGAACTGTCTGGACCTCACTGAAGATGGCTATTCTGCTGTGTGTTCCTGATTATTTACATGCTCTGTCAGTGCTGTTGGAGTCAGCATATCCCCCCCCACCCCAAGTCACTATTTTCTGTTTCCATGCCGATTGCATTTGGAAATGAGGGTTTTTATTTCTAATGAGTTTTGTGAAGAATCAACTGACTTTGACTTCAAATTAACCTTTAAAGTTAGACTATCAGTGACAAGATAAAACTTGACAGCCCACAACCATAGGGCACAATGTCAACTTCTAAAAACCAATCATTAAATAAATCGTTGAATCTGTTATATGCAAAAAAGGTGTTTTACTGAGGAAATGTAATTTCATTTATGTCAAAGGGATACCTGCACTCCCATGTTCACAATGTTTATGATATGGAATCAATTCCTGCACTGGATGGACAAATAAAGAAAATGTGGTGCATATATACACAATGGAATACTATTTGGCCTTTAAAAAGAAGGAAATTCTGTCATTTGCAACAGCGGGGATGAACTTGAAAGATATTATGAAGGCAAATAAGCCAGACACCAGAAAAAAAAAGCCCAATAATCTCACTTATATATGGAATTTAAAAAGGCAACTCATAGAAGCAGATAGTAGGATGGTGGTTACTAGGGTTGGGAATAGTTGGGGTGGGTCATTGGTCAAAAGATAAAAAATTTCAAAGAGATAGTTAATAAAAATGAATTGTATATTTGAAAATTGCTAATGGAGGATATTTTAAGTGTTCTCAACATACACACAAAAATAATGACAATGCAAATATTAATAGCTTGATGTAGTCATTTCAAGATGTATGCATATTCCAAAACATTATTTTGTACAATATTAAACATATGCAACTATTAGTGTCAATTTTTTTTTTTTTTAATTTAGGACAGAAGAAAAAAAAACAACTTTGGAGGAACATCCTTTGGCCCCCAGAGAGCACACAGTGATCAGCGCCGATTCATTGATTGATTCCCTTTGGTAGGCACTACAGGGTTGGCAGGGCAGCTAACATAGACAAAAACAAAAACCTAATAACCACGGTTCATGTTCATATCAGAGAATAATCAATATGGGAACTGGTACACACAAAGCTATCTCTTGTGTAGTAAATATACAAAAGTCATAGAAATCTCTACTCCATTCCCTTATGCAGAAATGTCTCTCTTGGGTCTCTGTGCATCTATGGTCCTTGCTCTTCTCTCTCAATGACACTTCCCTCCTCTGCACCCTGCCACATTGCATCTCTCCCACTCACTGTGAGGATTTCTATCTAATTCCTTTTCTCTAATTCCCTCACTGTCTCTGAGCAGGTGGGAGGGGGTCCACAGTGCTCTAGCCTTTCCTTCTCAAGAGAAACGATACTTTTGAAAGTACATGGATTTTGCTACATTTATGGAAATTTACAGTTCTGAATGTTCCACACAGGCAGATTTTGCCTTCAAGACAGGAAACAAAACCCAAGCAAACCCCTCCTGTATTCTCCCTAATATTTCAGTGACCATTCTTCTATAACTTAGAGGTTTAGAGTAGTTCTGCGAATTGAATAGGATTTTTCCTCTTTCTTCAATATTTTATTGAATAAGTTTCAAGCAACATTAACACCATATTCACTGTAAGAATATCATACATCAATTTACTGCATGAATGTCATTAATTTACTGAAATTAACATTATGAACACATAATGGAAAAATATTCCTCAAAAGAGGAAGGCGAATGTTAGCCAACAATAGGACAAAACTATCTTCAAAAGATAGAAATAACAGTTGCAGTTTGGCTTATATGTACTTTGAGGCCAGAGACCTCTATGCCTGTGTCTCCAAAGGAGCTAGGTTTTGGACAAGGAGGCTCAGGAACGTCTCCAGCCGCTTCCTGGATCTGTAAGCAATGAGTCCTCCCTTGTTGGCCCAGCGATCCACCCCAGTGGCACCTTCATTTTCCAGGTGGTACAGCAGCTGGGGCAAATCCAGCCCAGAGTCTGGATGCCTTTCTAAGCATTCTTTCATGTCCACTATTCCCCCGCCCATGGCCCTCAGGATGGCATGAGCAGCACAAGAGTCCCACTTGAACGTGGTGTCTTCTGAAAAGATGTAAATGTCAACGAGGCCTTGGACAACACAGAGGCTCTTGTAACCAGCCCCTGCTGCCCGGAAGATCCTCTCTCCGCACACGCGGGCTAACGCGGCCTTGATGGTCTCCTTCTCACTAGTGCTGATGACTGCTGAAAAAGCCCAGGAGGACTCTGACTCCGGGTTGGAGTTCTCAGTTCGCTTTTCACTGCCATTTCTTTTAGAGATGGCCCGCTCAAGTGAATGGATGTTGGTCCCCATGTAAGAAAGGCCCCAGTAACACTGTCCTTTCCACCTATGGAAGAAAAAGTTCAGTTGATAAAGGCGATTTGCACATTTGTTTTTCATGATTCATATTGCCTTTTATTGTTTTAATAAAATGAAAACAAACAAAAACCCAGTTCATCCTAGCATCATGAGTTTTACCTCCCCTAAGCTTAGAAATAGATCTCAAGTAGCTAATTCATTTTTAAAAGTTACTCTTATGCATGCATCTGCCTGCAGTTATGGCAGAGTTAGGAATGTTTTCACTTTTATGGCTTTATCACATCCATCTAGGACAACACCAAATTATTTGAATTCCAGCCTCCAGAAACACTGCAAACTTTTATGGCCACTTTTGGCATTTAAATTTCAGTAGGGGAAAAGATGAACAGGTAAATCAATCTTCAAATCTCTTACAGTCTTTATAACATGTTTTTGGTCTTTGGTTACTCCTTTTTATTCTTTGATTTATCAGTTCCATGTTGGCTTCTGACACCAGAAAGATGGGGCTCAAAATGTTACTATTTTGGTCAACAACAATAAGGACAGTACCTTCCATTCATTAGTTCTTAACATATATTCTATGTTGAAAAATTCACTGTTTACAGACCAGGAAATAGAGAATTGGGAAAATAAATAACTTGCTGTGGCCTACCCAGATTGTAAGTGATACAATCTGCATTCAAACCCAGGTGGTCTCACTGCAGAATCTGTGACACTAAGTACTTTGTTGACTACCTCCATTTCTAGGCCATGAGAATGTCTCATCCTGCCCCAATTCTTTTTAATTTCCTAATGACCTTTTAAAGATGACACAAACATACTTTTGGTTTGGAAGAAAGCAAAGGGAAAGGCAAAATATAAAAATTCCAGACTCGTAAAGAGCAAACTATTCTCACCTGAAGTGACTCAAAATTCAATAAAAATATGTAGTCCTATATAAATGGAAAAAAATGATCTATTTCAATTAAAAAACAACAAGAAAAAATTTTTTTAAAAAAGCCTTAAACTGCTTGTATTTGAAACCGGCCTCCCCTGGAGTCAACCCAAAGCACAGGCCATGAGTCAGAGGTAACTGGTGTCCTGGCCATCCTCTATGCTCTGCTGGAGAGTCTATGGAAAGGGCAGAGAGAGAGGAGGCAGAAAGGGAAGTGATGTTGACAGCATTTATAAGGAGAGATGTCCCAGAGGTAGGTTCTAAGCCTGGCCACAATTGTCAATCTTTTTATTGGATTTTTTTTTTCACATTTGTTTTAAATTTCTTCTAAAATTATACAAAAGTTCATCTGGCTATATGGTTACAACAGGTGACATATATCTTGGTCCAAAAGTATTAGAAAACAATTTTAGCATCAGTCTAATTTATTTACTTTATGGTACTGGGGATTGAATCCAGGACTTCACACAGGCTAGGTAAGTGCTATACCACTGATCTATATCCTTGGCCCTTTAAAAATTTTTTATTTTGTGGCAGTGTCTTGCTAAGTTCAAACTTGTGACCCTCCTGTCTCAGCTTCCCTAGTAACTAAGGTGACAGGTGCATGCCACTGTGCCTAGCTAGCAGCACCATTCTATTAATCTGGTTCTGAGTGCCTTCTAGAAATGTAGAACAGGGTTGCAATATCCCAAATGTAGACCTATGATATTTCTAAGATAATATTTCTTTTAAAATTTCTATTTTGTACTTGGGCCAAATAAAATCATGCCAAATGCAGGACTAAAAGTAGAAAGAACTGTCTTTGTTTTAATTTTTTTTGTAGTTGTAGATAAACAAATAAAACAAAGGCATGTTGTCTATCTTTATGTGGAGCTAAGGATTGAACCCAGGGCCTCACACGTGCTAGTTAAATGCTCTGCTACTGAGCTACAGCCCCAGCCCAAATAGAAAGAACTTTAATTCAAACTTGCAGACTTTTAGTGGAAACACCAAAATGTATCATGGGAATATCGTGTAAGGATAATCCTGACTGTAAGCAAAGCTGAGGGAATAAATTCCAAAGACTGTACTAGACCATAAATGTTCATCTTTTTACCTGAGAGTGTTTAGGTCTTGTGACACAAAAGGTTGATTGATGACTCCCATGAGAGGCACTCCTGTGTGTATGTCATAGACACCAATTAAAATAGTGACACACTGAAGTCCAGAGGGGAATATTCCTTGATTGGATTGAATGTCAGCAGAACCTTTAATATACTGATAAGTTGAATCTGGAAAATTAAGTAAGTGTGTTAAGGTTCACATAAAGATTATTTAGAAGATAATGCTGAATACATCTATAAATTTTGCTCTGTATAATTTCTCTTTTCTTCTAATTGGCTGTAGCAGGTTTTAACTTTTGGATGTCACTTGTATCAAATTGTTACTTGGCCTCCTACATTTCATTCTTAAGCTGCTTATGTTTCATTCTCCTGGCTAGTGAGAATGAAGGAGAGCACCTGTCTATAATTCCTGCAGCATCTAGTATAGCACTTTACAAATATTTGTCACAGATGGAAAGCATTTAAAAGTTAACAACTCAGAATAATGGTGAGGTTATTTTAGAATTGTTATTAATCAGAGGACTAGTACAATGAGAGATGGAAAAGTCTTCTTCCAGCAATATGCCAGAGGCAGAATTATCTATTATTGTTAATATTATTTGGTTCCTCAAGTTCCAAGGAGGAAAGACAATGATGGTGGCATAAAAAGGAAGAAATTAATGATGTTCCTGTGAAAAAGAAGTGGAAGAGCTGTTTCCTCTTCAGAGATATGAGAGCTGCCTGCCAGCATCTGGGGGGTTAGCACCCAGCTAAGGGTGAGACTGGCAGAAGATGCAGAGAGCTAGAGAATAGAATCAAGAACCAAGAAATAACCAGGTGTGATGGTGCATGCCTGTAACCCCAGGGACTCAGGAGGCTGAGGCTGAGGCAGAAGGATCGCAAATTCATAGCCAGCCTCAGTAACTCAGCAAGCCCCTAAGTAACTTAGTGAGACCCCGTCTCAAAATAAAAAAAAAAATTAAAAAAGGGCTGGGGATGTGGCTCAGTTAGGTGCCCCTGGGTTGAATTCCTGGTACCAAAACCATAACAAAAACAAGAAACAGGAGATCCTTGTCCTTCAGAAATCATAATTGATGTAGTTTATCCTTAAGTAATCAAAGATTTTGGGAAAGACTTCATTTCCACATACAATCCATTGACTGAATGTTATGTAGTTCTCTGATTAAACCACTATTTCTCTAATTTCTCCCTCTCCTTTCTCCCCTCTCCCTCTCCTCTTCCTTGATGAGGTCACACAATGTTGTCCAGGCTGGTCTAGAACTCCTTGGATCAAGTCATCCTCTTGCTTCAGTCTCCCCGATGGTTAGGACTAAAGCATGTACCACCAAGCCCAGACAATTAAATCCATTTTTATAACACTGGAAAGGGTGGAGGAGTTTGTCTGCTTAGTAAAATGTATTGGGTGGAATATCACAGGGAGGTGGGAAAAAAATGGGATGGGGGGCACAATACCTGGAGCTTGGTATTAGTGGCATCACTGAAGATAAGGACCACATTTTTTTTTTTTTTTTTTTTTTTTTAACATTTAAGGCAGAGATACAAGCTACAGAATGAGAGGAAATATTTGCAATACAGATATCCTCAAGAGTTTTAGTTTCACATGTATATATAAAATAAATAGGAAAAAAATCAGATAGCATAAAAAAAGTGGGAAAAAGGCATGAAAAGACATTTTCTTTTCTTTTTTTTTTTTAATTTTTTATTGTTGGCTGTTCAAAACATTACATAGTTCTTGATATATCATATTTCACAATTTGATTCAAGTGGGTTATGAGCTCCCATTTTTACCCCATATACAGATTGCAGAATCACATCAGTTACACATCCATTGATTTACATATTACCATACTAGTGTCTGTTGTATTCTGCTGCCTTTCCTATCCTCTACTATCCCCCCTCCCCTCCCCTCTTCTCTCTCTGCTCCCTCTACTGACATTCGTTTGTCCCCCTTATATTATTTTTCCCCTTCCCCTCACTTCCTCTTGTATGTACTTTTGTATAACTCTGAGGGAAGGACCACATTTTTAAAACAATGAGCTATAGATTATCTTCCTACCACAATAAACTGATGGTTCATGAGACACATTGACTATTATGCTTGATCAATACTGTTTTTGATTGTTGATTTGTTTAGTAATCAATGGTTAAGAACTGGAAACTTTTATTTAAGACCCTGGATTTTGCTTATTCTGCTCCCACCAAAAAATCTGAAGGTCTGGCCTGTACTCCCATACGGCCACAATCTGTTGGAGCTAAGCACTCTTTAAGTAACATGTGTTCTCAATTGTTATAACTGCTATCACTTCATGTTCTCACTTATTTACCAGTCTGGCCCTTCTGTGGGCCTGTGTAGTACATACACACACCTGTTATAGACTTGTGTATAAAGGTACATATGTACATAGCTATATGTATATATACACATATCTATAACATAACACATCATAATGTACCTCAACTCTTCACTTAGCATTTTGAAACTTAAAAATTTTAAATCTTCTAGGAGAATTAAACCATACTTTCAATAATTTTTATTTTCTAAGCCAAAAAAAAAAAAGAAAGAAAGAAAGAAAAAGGATTGTACACAAGAACAAATACACAGGTAACAGAGCAAACATACTCTCCTATACTTACCTATGGGATCCACCCAAATTCCCATAAGGTCCTGTGGAATGTTGATCACTATGGAATCCAGAGCTGCATCAGCAAAGGTGACATCCTGATGGACAACCTTGGCTAGTGCTTCAGATGCTGATTTGTTACCATTAAGGACTTTGCTAAGAAGCTGGGCTGTTTCTTCCTCTGTCGAACACAGCTTTATGATAATCTTTTCCCCTAGAAAGGACAAACTAAAACCATTATATCTTGAGAGTTTTGGTGGAGAAAGAACAGAGAGGTAGGGGAAAGAGAGAGAGGGAGGGAGGAGGCTGCAAAACCCATGCACCTGTATTAGGTAAGGTCAACATATCCATGCCCGTGGTTCCTAAGCCTGATGACCACCAGAATCACGTAGGGAGCTTCACAAAGTCATGATGCCCAGTGGCCTCATGTCCTTAATCTCAGGGTAGGATACAGGAATTGAAAGACTGACTCCCCAGGAAAACATCCACATGGACACAATTTTGTGTCAATTTTAAGGGGGTTCACAGACCAGTTAAAAATCCTTTAATCCTTGATAATTGATCCTCTTTTTTTTTTGGTCTTTTTTAAATTTAATTTTTTACAAAGGCAATTTAATAGTACAAGAAGAGACCTCAATGGAGAAAACAAGAAACTCATTTAAAAAATTAAGAAAACATGGCACTTTTAGATATATAGACACATATTCCTCACAACCCTATCTGATTTAAGGACCAGCAGATTCTGTTATCACCCAGGAGCTTGTCAGAAATTCAGAACCTCTCTGGGTGTGGAGGCTGAGACAGAAGGATTACAAATTCAATGCTAGCCTCAGCAATTGAGCAAGATCCTGTCTCAAAATAAAAAAAAAAATTAAAAGGGCTGGGAGTGTAGTTCAGTGGTAGAGCACCCTTGGGTTCAATACTGAATACCATAAAAAAAAAAAAAAAAGAAAGAAAGAAAAAAAAACAGAACCTGAGGCCTTCCACCAGACCAGCCCTACTGGATTTGAACAAGATACTCATTTGATGATATAATCAGTAAAGTTGGGGAAGCACAGTATGAATGTATTTACAATGATGACTTTTTTTTTTTTTTTTTTTTTTGGTGGCGGTGGTGATTGAACACAGGGACTCACACATGCTAGGTAAGCACTCTACCCCTACCTATACCCCCAGCCCGTAATGATGACTTTGCATCAGCAAGAAACACTTAAATTTAAATTCAAATTCAATTAAACTATTAAAGTTGAGGAATAACAGTGCTAATAAGTGCCACACACTGAACACTACCTTTGGGCTTACTAAAAGTTACAGGATCATTCAAATGAGTAAATTATACCATATCACTCCTTTGCTTAAAACAGGCTAGTGAATCCCCATCACACTTTGAGGGCAACCTGAATTCCTGCCAAGATTGCATCCTGCCTGAAATCACACTATACACCACAGTCTCTCCTCTTCCCTGCTCTACATTTCTTTGCCCTTTTAACAAACAGGAAAGTAGATGTGGAATGGTTTTGTGTTCCTATAATTCTGGATAAATCATGTATCGAAATAACTTTGTAAAGTAGTCAAATGTAGGATTTTTAATGAGGAATTCTTATGAGTTAATCATAGGAGTTATTTTTAACCTTCAGCTAGTTCTCTCTTCCTACTGAATGTCTATTATGGTTTAGATAGGCGGTGTCCCCTGAAAGCTCATGTGTGAGATAATGCAAGAATTTTCAGAGGCAAAAGGAACAGATTGTGAGAGATATAACCTATGTCACTGGATTAATCCACTGATAAAAATACACTGGGTGGTAAAGGTGGGCAGGTAGGGTGTGGCTGGAGGAAGTAGGTCACTGGGAGCCTTCTGCTGTGATGTTTTGCCTCACCTGGGTCCCAGAGCTGTGGAGTCAGCTGTCTATGGAGCCAGGCTTCTGAAACCATAGCCAAAATAAACTTCCTACTCTACCTTGTTCTTGCCATGTCTTTTGATCACAGCGACAAAAAAAAAGCTGACTAAAACAGTATTATAGAACCAAGGACATTTTAATATATTGCTCATGTAGGAGACTTAAAAAGATTATCAGACGCTAATCCAGAAACTCATGTTCTTCCTTTATAAATGTGTTTCTCAATATTTGACTGTCTGTCCCATGATCAACGTATAAGATTCACTATTTTAGTCTTTTAATATTAAACAAACAAAAATCCCAAACAAACTAAAAATGAAAAATTTCTCTGAAAATAATCAGAGATTATGATATTTTCCCCTAAACTGCCATAGAACATGGAGGTCACTGAAGGGGAATATGCCCATAGGAAACTACATAAATAAGACTAAAATCTTGGCATTGGCCTGCTCTGATATCTCCAGCAATTCTGGAGTCTGAAGCAGAAGGCTCACTTAAACCCAGGGGTTCCAGACCAGTCTGGGCAACATATTAAGATAGGACTCTGAGATTCTGTCTCAAGCAAAATAAAAACAAACAAACAAAAAAAACAGGTGGAACTAAGTTACTTCAAGTACCTTTACAGAAGTTCTGAGACCTTGAGAAATGATGGCTCAAGATCACCCAGGATTTCAGGGTCAAGGGCTCCCAGGGAGCCCTTGGGACTTAGACCTGAAATTGGACTTACACCTGAAATTGTCTGTACATACATGTAGCTGTGCATCTTTCTGGGGGCATCATTTTTTTTTTTTTTGATACCAGGGGTTAAACTCAGGGGAACTCAACTATTGAGCCACATCTCCCACCCTATTTTGTATTTTATTTAGAGACAGGGTCTCACTGAGTTGTTTAGCGCCTCGCCTTGCTGAGGCTGGCTTTGAATCTGAGATCCTCCTGTGTAAGCTTCCTGAGCTACTGGGATTATAGGCATACATTACCACGCCCGGCTCTAGGGGCATTGATAACCTCCACTAAGTTCCCAACGGACCATAGAATTTTCCCAAAAGGTAATTTTATTAATTATTTAAATGCTACAGATTTATATTTAAAATGATGCATGGTCATGGTAAATTATTCTAAGAGATCACATCTCTCTCTTAATTTAAATAGCATGATATTATGAGGTAGAGATTGAATGAAGCTTTACATTCAAATATATAATACTGTTGACATTGAAAGGTTTCCAAACTTCCACTTATTTCATGGTGTAAGTTGGAGATCAGAATACTGTATGATAACTAAGTTACAAAAATACATTAAGATTCTCATACTTACCCAAATCATTAGTAAATTCATTGGATTCTTCTCCAAAAATATTTTTTTCCAAGCCTGGAAACTGAATGATTCAGAATATGATAAAAAGCAAAACAACAACTAAAACCTACACACGTTCAGTTCCCAATAGATTTCCATCTTACATTTCAAGTTAAACACAATTACATCTGAATTTCAGAAATTTCCAAATGTATAAACCAAATCAAGTATAAAAAATGACACTAGCTTGGTCAGGTGCTTAGTTCTCTAATATTTTCCTGTCCCTTTGCCTCTCTAAATCCAAATCGTGGTTGAAGTCTGGTTTTCTTATGTCTTGTTATCCTACTGTAGAAAGGCCCTAAAGCTAGGATGCTTGCAAAGGAGATACTGTAACTATCATCTTAAACAGCACCCTAGTACCTTATAAAAGTTAATATTATTGATCAAGTGGCTGAAATTATTGAGACTAGATAGAAGAGATAGGAGGGTAATGTTAGATTTTGTTTTTCATTTTCAAATATGTTTCTGCTCCTGTTAGAAATACCGTTAGTTTTCAGGCTAGGAAGATATAGGAAGGAAGGGGGGGGGGGTGTAGAACTTTATTGACTGATAATTTGTGCATCAATATAAAGTGAGTAAATGGAGTCGAGTAAGAATCTTCTCTCATCTCTGTACGATTAGGAAACTTTCAAATATATTTTTCTTCTGACCCTCAGTAGTGAGAATAACTTTTCTCAAAATATTTGCTGAAGCATGCCTATAATTCTCAGGAGGCTGAGACAGGAGGATGGCAAGTTCAAAGTCAGTCTCAGCAACTTAGTGAGACCCAAAGCAACTTAGCAAGACCTTGTCTCACAAAAAAAAAAAAAAAAAAGAACACTGATGTGGTTCACTCGTAGAGAGCCCTAGGTTCAATCCCCAGTATAAAAAAAATTAAAATTAAAAAATAAAAATTGCCTTGTGATATGCATGATGTTCTTAGGGAACAAAAGTAAGGAGATGCTTTAAATACTTAAGCCCAGTCATCTGCAGATGGCCAAAAGCTTTAATAATGCCCAGAACCACTTGGAGGTTTATTTTTTTGTTTATTTTGTTTTTGCTTTTTGTTGTTGTTGTTTTATTTTTTTCTGTTTTGAAAGATGGTACAAGCCAATGAGGGCTGGCAACCATCCTATTCTTTAAGGATGGAAGCTCAGTCTCCAAGCCTGCTTAAACATCTGTTTCTGAGGGACCAAGGCATAAGGGTCATGAAATAAAAATATTTCATATAATTGAAAAGGAAAACTATTTGTTCATAAGTTCTGACATTTACTTCATGAATGAATGACTGCCTGAACTTGTTATAATGCTCTGTGGAAAATATTAGTTCATAAACATACCTAATCCAGTTGCTCAACCATCATTTGTACTCAATTTATCTTGAGCAGTAATAAACAAAAATAAGTTTGCTTCATTTATTTTATCTAAGCCAGATATAACAGATATTACAGGGTATAAGAAAATCAAAGTTGGCAGAAATTTTGTGGGGTCATTGATTCTTATCACCTGCCTGTGGTTAAGATTTCACTTAAATGATGCCCCATATTTTAAGCATTTCTTAGAAAATATTCCAATAATTTAAAATGTTTTATGTCACAAAGTTCTATCCTCCCCCAAGCTAAACAGAATTATTAGATTATCATTTAAAAGGCAATATTACTATTGAACATAGACATTGGAAGTTGGGTGCAGTGGCACACACCTGTAATCATAGTGGCTCCAGAGGCTGTGGCAGGAGGATCATGAGTTCAAAGTGAGCCTCACCTACTTAGCGAGGCCCCAAGTAAAATATTAAAAAGGGTGGGGATGTGGCTCAGTGGTTAAGTGTCCCTGAGTTCAATCTCTGTTACCAGAAAAAGAAAAAAGAAAAAGGATGTAGACTCTGGAGCCAGTTTGCCTGTGTTCAAAAACTTGACTTGCCATTCATTTTCTGTGTAACCTTAGGCAAGTTACTTAAGCTCTCTGTGGTCCCTTTTTTCATTCACTACATTGGGATAATTGCTCTTAAGCCATAAAATTGTTACAAGAGCTAAATAAGTTACCCTTCTCAAAGCCCTTAAAATAATGCCTGTCACACACTTAGCATTTATAAGTGTCTGTTATCATCATTAGTATTATCTCTACTACTACTATTACTACTACTGCTACCACTACTACTATTACCACTTCTACTTATGAATACTGTTTTGTGATTCAGCTCAAGATACCCAGAATCATAATCACTGTTAGTTATGACAATGTTTTTCTAGTAGTAGAACAAAGGAAGACTTCATTGAGCTACAAACCCCATAACCAAGGCAAATATTAGATACATGAGTAAGTCCAAAAGATGAGACTTACTATACCAAGTTTAAAAATAAACCAAAACACAGGCTACAAAACAATGTGCTTTCATTTCTGATGAGATGAATGATAGGAGTCACGTGCACACATACACAAAGAAAGGAAACATTTTAATAATATTTAGCAAAACATAGTTGTGGTTTTTTCTAGTTGCAGGGTTAAGAGAGCTCAATTTTGTTTGTGTTTCAGAGAACATGTATTATTCACTAAGAAGAAACTCATTAATAAAAGAAAGGTTTTTGTGATTATTATTTTCTTTTCTGTACTTTAAAGATTTTCTGCAGTGAACATTTTTTTTCAGCATTATAATCCTATCAAGGGACAGGGGAACCCAAGATATTTATTGAATCCAAGATGCTAATATTCTGAAAAGGAATAAAAGTCATGCTATTCTATGGTGGTGGGGGAGCCACAGAGGCAAGTATTTACAATTACCTTGGCCATGACCTTTCTTACCTTGTTCTCCATATTCTGTTTTATAACTTCCTGCACCAGTACATCAGCCAGGGTCTTGAAATCAACTGTGAACTTCTTGTTCTTTTCTCCCTCCTTCTTTTCTTCAATGAGCAGCTGGAAGAGAGCTTCCTGCTGCCTGCATGCCCGGGCGATGTTGGCAGCTTTCTCTGAGACACGGAGCAGTTCCTGGAGGATCTCTGACATTTCTGAACTTTGGTTTTCAGTGGCAGCTTCTGGTGGAATCGGCTCCCACTCTCTGGGCTGTCAGCTGTAAAGTGCAAGAATGTGAAAGAGAAAGCAGTTCAGAGAGTGATGTCAGGGTGCCTCACACTACCAGCCACTTGGCAGGCAGTCAACCTGGTCAGCATTGCTGAACAGCTAGTATATAACATAATCACAGCCTCAGAGTGGAAGGCTGTACCTATAAGCTGAAATTTAAAACTTAGTGTTTAAAATCTTGAAAAAAAATGATTGCATTCTCAAAAATACATTATACAAAGAACTGAATTATCAGTCTGAGAAAAATCCTTGAATGAGAATCTATATTATCTTTACAGAGTCCCACACAGACAGGTAGACAGAGCACAGTGTTAAAGGAAAGCCAGATTCTTGCAATGACCCTAGTCTGATCACAGAGACTCAGCAGTAGGACTAAAGCAGTATTCTTTTTCTCACCCTGAAGGAAGAAGAGAGAAGTAGGACAGACTTATGCTCTCAGTTCCAGGGCAACTTTCTCAAGTATTAAGTAGCAAGGCAGCAAGCATTGTTGTGTCCTGCAAGACTCTAAGGCCACTGCTGGGCTAGCAGCACAAGCCATCTCCTAGCCAACTTATCCCTGCCCCATTAAAAAAAAAAAAAAAAAAATCCTATTATCTGTAGACTCCTCCTACCAACTGAAAGTCTAAACAGCAAAACATTGAGACTTGCAACTTGTTGGAACTTGAAAAGTCCTGGCTTCTAAAGTTTCAGGCTACCACGCCTTGATCTATCTCTTGGGCCTATCTTGCAATTAGAGAAAAATTTTCACCCCTTAATAGTAGCTACCTCGTATTAAAAGCTTGAATAAGTCCCAGTTTCTTTTTGTAGGAATTATTATGAGGATTTCCTTCCCTGTTCTACAGTTTGAGAAACGGAAGCTTCGGGAGGTGAAGTCACTTCTTCAGGGTTACAAAAGACTAACTGTACAGGGCTCTGCAGTGGTCATACTGACACTTGGGCTCTTTATCATCATAGGAGACAGTTTCCTTCATAGAAAGAAATTTCCTGAATGGACTCCCAGAGACTGAAAATTAGAACAAATATAAAGATATTATTGCAACAGGGTTAACTGTGAATTGTCACAGTTAGTTCATCTTAAGTTTGCAAACAAAATATGTTCTCCTCGTTGTAAGATTATGGGTTAACCAGCATGAGAAAATGTGTCCAACCTAGACAGTAATAAAAGGGCAGTGGATAAAACAATGAGACATCTTCTTTCTGGTTTTATATGTTTTAAAGTTAACATTCACCCTTGGAGAAGGCACTGATGCACGCATGCTCACAAACAAGCAGGTGTCCAGAGGGCAATCGACAGAAGGGTATCAAGGTCCCTACAGAAGACAGCACTTTTTTAGTCTGTAACTCCAATCTTTCCTTAATTTGGGTTAAGGAAATGAGTTGAGTTAAAGTATTTCTGCACACAGTAAGTTAATATTATTTGCAATAAGAAAAAGTTGAAAATAATATTCAGCATTGGTAAAATATCAGATAAAATACTATGAGGCCAGAAAAATCATGTTTATGAGGAATATTGAATAATGTGGAAATGTGCTAATGCTACAGTGTCAAATGGAAAACCATCTATGATTATATGTAGAGTAACAGTATATTATCAATATTTGTTTACACTGAAAGAGTGAGAAAGAAGAGAGAATAGTAGGTGGTGGTTGAATGATAGTTTTTGCTGAATAGTGAATTGCATATGACTTTTTTTCATTAGGCTTTTGTATAATTTTCAAATATTCTATAGTAAACATATAATGCTTTTATAATAAACAATGACATTTAAAGTATCTTAAGGTAACTGTCCAAATAAAACACAACAACACTTTGTGGTAACAACACAAAAAGCTCCTAGGAGGTAGAGAGATATATTTAAAACTAAAAAACATCTTCCAACTTTAAATGTTTTTTTCTTTCAGGAATGAATGATATGTTGGAAGATTCACTTCAGTTGACTTGAACCTACACATTAAGAAAAAGAGTTTCATTAGTAAGCTAAGGCACTTTTGAGAAATAATTTTATGGCATATATGACATGTATATGGCACAAATTAAAATGATGTATAATAAATACATGGAAATATGCATACATATTCCCAGTATATCATAAGCCCTGAGAGATAAATTATAATTTCTTAATAAATATTTTGCAGTTATATAAGTTAAGGAACAAGAACCAAAGAATCAATAGTATCCAATTAACTTTTTATCTTAAAAGGATGAAGATGTTAAGGAGTCCAATTTGCAAGCTTTCAAGATAAACAATATCAGAATTGGCTATTATACTCAACTTTGTTAAAACCAATCAATATTTTTCTGAAAAGATGCACTGTACCAACTACACCGTTAGGTAGCCTTTGACACATTTCCTGCCCCCAGGAATTGAGTTCTTCCTCTTTGGACCCGACCTTTATTTCCTCAGTGACTGTTGTTCCCACCTGAGCAGTTGCTGCTTAGCAAGCCCGGCCACTTGACCAATGGGGGAGAACTATCAGCCACAGACTGTAATCCTGTAATGAATAGACTACATATTTTATAAATTCTTAGCATAATAATCATGTTTTTCAAGTCCAAAGATATCCCAAAGTTCAACCTTAACCACTGTTTATTCCGAACTGAGGGATCACTATATTTTGTCAAACTCCAAGAGGAACTATCCAGTTTCAGGTTGACACTACACTTTCTCCAATCATCTGAACCAACCTAGCACTTCTTCAGATATTTTTCCTTCTCTAGTTCCCCAGCTTTCTCTCTCTCTCTCTCAAAAAAAAAAAAAATTATATATATATCCTACAGCCCCAACACAAGACTTTCCAGGTAACCAATACAGTGATGCATGCTTGTAGTCCCCACTCCCACTACTTGGGAGCCTGAAGCATGAGGATCACTTGAGCACAGGCATTTGAGACCAGATAGATGACATAACAAGACCCTGTCCCAAAACATAAAAAAAAAAAGACTTACTAATTTGCACAGCTGACCTACTACTTTCTGATTAAACAAACCATTTCTTCCAATCAAATCAAATCATCCTATTATACTTCTCTGTAAGCTGTTTCCTCATAGCTCTCTCCATCTATTCTCAATTCAGTTCATGCAAGCAAGAAGGGAGCCCTGGAGGGGAAAAAAAGAAAAGAAAGAAAGAAAAAGGAAGAAGGGAACACTGAACAATTCATCCTGACCTTGAATACTTGAGATTGTCTATAGAGATATTGAGGACTACATCCAATACAGGATTTCTCCAGCTTTACATGGAAATTATCTTTGAGATGATTTTAAAAAGAAAGGTTTTCACTTTACACACTTATTTTGGCCATCATTTCAAGAGTGGCAGGTATCCTGGTGGAAACCTAAAGTTCTATTATTAGTTGTAGGTATAATAGATGCTTGTGGTTCTATTAGTAGCTATTCACGTGCATGGATAGGCCAAAGTTGAAACATTTACTAGGTGCTTAATATATGTCAGGCATCTTCTAAGCACTTCAAATATATTAGCACATTTAATTCTCACACAACCCTATGAAATATGTATTATCTCCACTTTACAGATTAAGAAACTGAGGTATAAGGAGGTTAAGGAATTTGCCCCCAAATCACACAGCTAGGAAGTAGCAGGACAGGATTCAAGCCCTGCAAGCTGATGAAGCCTATGCTGTTAAGCATTACTCTAGCCAATGAAATTGTTCTCCACAAATTGTCAATTGTTTAAGAAATTAATGATTATTATATAATAATCCTAAGCACATTATTATGATGTACAATATACAGCAAAAAATGCACATAGCTAATGTCTGTCACCAGTCAGAGCATTAGAGCTCACTAATTGACACTTTACTTTCCTTTTACTCTCAGAAAAACCCTTTCTTCAGCTGATCCTTAGACTCACTGTAAAGTACCCTACTGAGTAATAAAAGTTCATCCATCAGTTCCACTGATGTCTCCCTTAACCATCTTCATATAACTAGTGGTAGGGGCCTAAGTGGAATTTAAGGAACAGATTTATTTTCTCATAGTTCTGGAGACTGCAAGTCCAAGATCAAGATGTTAACATGATTAGTTCCTGAGGTTTTCCTTGGCTTGCAGACAGTTTCTTCTCATTATGGCCTCTCCCAGTCTTTCCTCTCTGGGCACAAATCTCTGGTCACTCCCTCTTATAAGGATCCCAGTCAGATTAGATTAGGGCCCATCCATCTGATCTCATGTAGCCTTTAAACGTTCTTTCTCCAAATATACTTATTTCCTGGTAGCCTTGGTGGACTAGGTCTAGGATCCCTTTAGGTACTAAAATATGTGCATGTTCAAGTCCCTTAAATAAACATGGCATAATATTTATTTGCATATAACCTATGCACGTCCTCCTGTATGCTTTCAGGGCTTCAATGTAAGAATGTCAGAGGAACACAATTCAGCTTGCAATACCTCTCCTGATAGAGAGGCCTCAATGATTTTAGCCAATGCCAACACAATCTATGTCTTTCTCTTTTGTGTTCTGGTCAAATAATAAAAATTAGAGTTTTATTCCCCACTTAAGTGGTCAACAGTTTAATTTTGTGAGATAAACTTTCTTCTCAGAGCTCTTCACTTTAACAGTAAAATACCACACTATGCAGTGAGCATTGAAACGAATTCTCTCATAAACCATGATTTGTAACATCAGTCACATTTCAGCAAAATAGGCTTAACGAAATTTCATTCTTCACCATCTCACACCCAATGTATATCTATATATTAATATTAAATTGTGTCATAATGTCAGGGTTGGTCTCTAGTTTTTGTGTTCTTGTCACAGTAGTTGGAGAAATATTGAAAAAATTAAAGCATTTCAGAAAAAAATCAAAATATCTCTACAAAGATAAAATTCAACCTTAATTTGTAGCCATTCTATCATCTCATTGTAACATCAGAGGTTTAAAAGTCACATCTGGGGCTGGGCACATTAGTGTACACCTCTAACCTCAGTTAGTTACTTGGAAAGCTGAGGCAGGAGGATCACAAGTTCAAGGCCAA